ACCACAAAACCGCAGTAAGATCAGATACTCTCTTTTCTCTAGCTTTCTTTTTCAGGTGCTGGATTCTTCCTTCAGAGAACCAACAATAAAAGGAATGAATAACAGAAATAAAGATGTAACAACGCCACCATACCGAACAACAAAACCAAATGGAAGGAAGAATGGACCAGGACTCATACTCACCAACAAAGCCCCAAGGAAGAGTTGCACCGCCCTGCCATTCTACCGGACAGAACGACCAGACTAACCCAAACGACCCAAAATATATATATATGTACATAATATGTTTATGTCTGTAAAAATGTCCGTCTCTGTCCATGTCTGTTCCGTCAATTCGCATGCTTGTGAACGTCTACTGGCACATCTCTCGTCCTTTGCACATGTCTATTGTCCTATGTACATATATATGAAAACCTAATTATCCTTTTTTTTTTCTCATTAATCACATTGTAAATTAATGCACCTTGTATACATAATATGTCATTGTCTGCGATATCACCTCGGTGGAAGCGGACGTAAAATACAACTAACTCATCATCATCATCAGATAAGAATATGGGGTCACCGTTTGAACTGACTTGTGGAATATGTCTGGCCTCGTGCACAAATAGTAAAATGTTATTTTGTCTTAAATATTGGATATCAGAAGGGCATCTTTTCCCGGTAAGATCACAGCATCAACGTTGATTTAAATTGACAAATAATTCGTGTTTTCAATGTCGAAGACTTTGGATGATACTGAGTTAGAGACTTGACTACTTTAAGCACGATTACTTTAAGATTCGTGTAGAAGGTCGTTAAACCCGTTTTATTACATTTTGCTTAGTAAGGGAATTTCAGAATATCAGAACGAATTTCTTGCTGGTTTTCAGCGGTTTATAAGTTTATTGATCTGAACGACTGTAATAAAGCATGCATGGGAAACAACTCTATTTATACATTTGAAAATATTTAACGGGGAATTACCGCCGCATAAGATAAGTGTACGAGACTAAGGTTCGAACTTGTCGAGATTGTAAACGTAGATGCCAGTTTTAGGGGAAAACTTTAAAAAATTGCGGGTAGTAGGAATCTTTTCGGGCAACGGTAGTACTTTTTGTCAATTTTAAAAGGGATTTTACAAAGTAAATTTGCGTAACTTTATCGTAACGTAAACTTGCAAATAATTCGCGGTTCACTAAACTTCTCAACTTACGAAAATCGTAACTTGTACCGTAAAGTCTACGATAACTCTTATTCCGTCGTTATTTGGAATTTTTAGGTTTCTTTGACAAAATGGCGGACTGGTTACTTAAAGCAGATCACCAACTTCGACGAGAGAGAATATTTAGGGATATAAGGTCAGAGATTGTGAACAGAATTTTACTAGTTATATGGATAAACCCAGTATCTAGTCAGAGTTTCACAATCAAGAAAATAATAATAAAAAAACGTGTAGAGTGAAATAAGCTGGCGTAAACCACTGTCGTTCAATTCAGATTGCTTGTGTATTTCCCCAAATATAATCGATTAGAAATTGCAATGTTTTTTTTAAAAATGAATATAATCTACTTTATATACATTACATTAATATGTGCTTTTAGACCCATTTTCATCTACATTTAATGATTCCAATGAATAGAGCCTACGCCCTTTACACAGTACATTAGGTGTGTTGTCCTAGTATATTTATCAATATGTATAATAAACAAGGTGTTACAACGTCAATAAAATAATTATTAGTGGTGGGCAGCATGGTAGACATTACTGTAGACAACGATCAATGTAACACACCATATTCACGTGATACGGAAGTCTTCAGGATGCTTACGTTTGAGATGGTCGTATTTTCATAAAGAATGAAACAAGGATGAAAATAAGAAAACTTCGTAGGTATCTTTTCTCTTATAAACTCTAAGTATAGTTGGGGATTTCAAACTATACATTCAGTATCGATTTAATGGATCTCAGCGTGTAAACGTATACGCTACGACGCTACGTTGAAAGTACCAGCACTATGGTGTGTAGACTATAAGACAATCTTTATTCAAGTTTTGTACATTTTCAAAATGGCCGTAGGATGTAATTAACTGGTATACCCAATCATTGACAGTAGCTCACTACTTTCATATCTAACATTTTGAATGAAAACTACCATGGATTAAAGAATCATTAAAAGCTAATGTTTCTAGTTTGAAATGGGTGTGGGAGTGGGGATGGATGGCCGAATGGTTAGCACCTGCGCGCTGTATCATAAGGTGTGTGTGTGTGTGGGGGGGGGGGGGCGAATGGTTAGCACGTGCGCGCTGTATCATAAAGTCTGTCATTGAGTCAACTGGCGTTTCGATCCCCCGGTTGTACGTGACAAGGAGTAGGGTCGCCTGTCCAACCTCGTGGGTTTTCTCCGGGCCTTCCGGTTTCCTTCCACTGCTAAAGACCCCTGCGCGCAAGCGAATTATGGAAATAAAATTGAACTATATGTTAGTAACGAACTGACCTAGTTTGTGTCGAGTGGACGTTAAACCCCCATCTCTCTCTCTCTCTCTCTCTCTCTCTGTCTCTCTCTCTCTCTAAATGTTGTAAAAATAATCATTTAGAAATCTATTTACATGGCAATACCATAATCACCACTCTAGTCTAACAGATGGCCGATGGCTTATATATTGAGTTGAGAAACGCTGCCCGCCATATCTGCATTAAACGCTAATATGGCCGCAGTCTGCGGATGAAACGACTAACAACTGAGACTTCGTTTATTATCATAGGAATGATGCTTGGCAATCGAGAATATAACTGTGGGCGGAAATTCCATCTGCCATGGCTATTTCCTAAAACATATCTTTAAAGTACTCTAAGTGAAATTGTCCATTTTTCACTATCTATTTTTGAAATATTTTATCAGACGTTTCTCTACACCATGCATAATGTATCCTTAAGCAGTAAGAATTTGTACCAGTCGACAGCTGTTTAATTACATGTACTTTTGTAACAAATATATTAAATATATTTCAAGTTTATTAACATACACTTAAACATGCATTATGCAAGAGCAAAATCTGCTTATTACAAGTCTTTCTTTAGGCCTGAAATGTTATCTAAATTATCAATTAGACATTAATTAACTTATCCAGACCATAATAAACTCTCGATGTCAAGGCTAGCCTTCGATGTAGGCTGGATTAGATTCCTATATGCCGCTAACGGCCAAAGATAATTAAATCAGAAAAAGTGGATAATCGAGACTATGCTGTTAAATTAATGATTTTAGTAATGATAACCGAGACTATGCAAAAATTTCACCGGCTTCTTTCTCGGCTCATAGTGGATCAATTTGACTGAAATTTTCAGCAAATTACCTTCACACTATCTAGTTTTTAACTATTATAGCGAGAACTGCCATCTCTTTATCTTATCTCCCATAATGTATCTTTAAAGAACACATACAACGACCATGTAAGAGGGGCATATTATACTTGAAGCTAGTGGTTAATATTGAACTCGGGGGCGTGGTGGTCGGTGATTTTGCATGAGGAACAACCCGTGGTAAATTTCGGGTTGTGTTGAACCTGCTTGAGTTATGTAAACCATTGTACATGTTTGGCACTGTGGAACAATATGATTCTGATGAAACGGTGATCAGAATCTGAAAGTTATCACATGATTTTTCCATATTTATAAAATATAAAAAAATTTCCATTGGTGAATAAGAAAATGTGTGGTTTTACGTATATTTATAAGATGTCATTACTAAAACTCCCAACTGTTTATAGAGAAAGGGGTCGTCAGAATACAATTTACTGACAGACAGTACAAAATCTTATATATTTATTGAGAGTGATATTGTATGGTTCTGCTTTTTATTCAGTAGCACTGTCTCTATTCTTTAACATCTTTGAATGATAAATTGTCTTACTATGGAAGATTGTTTATGTTACAGTTTTATTGAAATGGGTCGAATTGATCTCAGGTAGAGTAACACTGTCACTGTTCGATACAATATTTATCTTAAAGTAGATATATCGACATATTATATTATAACAATATATAAATTATGGTGACAGCTTTAACAGATTCAACATTTAGAAGCATCCTCGACAGCTCCTTTCATTCGCCATACTAAAACAAACATTGCGTTCATAGCAGAACAATAACTAGAAGTTGTCATTTTGAAAGGAAAGAAACAGGGGTAACAGTTCATTTTGACACACAAAATAAACCCAAAACATTTTATTAAGATTTAATAGGGACGCCATATTGAAAATTATGGTAATTTTAATGACGTCGCTTAGATAAATGGATTGGACCTGCAGAAACCCTATTTTCGAAATCTTTCGGAGCATCTCCGGATTTGAAAATATGGTTTGGCAACACATCAGCTCCCTTGTGGAGGTCGATACATACAGGTTTAGATCAGAGGACTCCTTGAGTGTAACTGATCACTGCTGGGATATCTACAGGTTAAGTCTAGCAATCTTGGAAACTGCGAGCCTTTTAACATTTTACTTGTAGCAACGCGTTAGGTTTGAGCTATATACTCTCGTCCCACTGCCACGCCGGACCCTGCACCCGTCCATCTAGGGATCTTTTATTACCAGCTAGACACACCTCGCCACTGCCCTTGGTCCTGTTTCAAGTATGCTGTCGCATTCTTGTTTTTTTACACCCCCTCTAATAAGAAATGAGACGGGCAAAATATTTTTTTTTCCATAGAAGAATACTTAAATGCCGTCTCCTCAAGGGTCATAGTTCAAATCTGTTTTCACCAATCTCCCGTCACGCCCTTGTTGTTATATTATTTATATTATGGAGGTCACCGACGGTATGAAATTTAATATCTGAGAGGTGATATGCTTGAATAATAAGATACAGGTAAAGTACATCTACATTACTGTAAACTGATCATTTTATTAACTGACTATTCGTGTACTGGGTTTATATTGTCGATGTTTGTCAGTAAATTAGTTATCCTTTATGCCTATACTTGTCTTCAATAGAACAGATACAGGTACATTTCATCTACGTGTATATATTTTGATGAAAAGTCGACGGTGTAAGCATTCGGGAGACACGCTGTATTTCTATTTAACGATATTTCTAGTTATAAAGACTCTATCGTTTTCTTGGAGTTCAAATGGATTTTATTGTTTCTGTGTACATATATATTGATTAGTAGCTCGATCGACCGCCACTTTAAATATATAGCCAATCGGCATATGAATAACTGGAATGTGTAGTAGTTTGTAAAGATGGAATCTAGCGACGATGGCGAAGGTTTGTGTTTGTAATAATATACATAGTTATATCTAAATTAATATAAAATGTAATATATGTAAATGTAATACAAACAAACAATATCTGTTCTTTGATCTATGCCGTGGGTGATATATACTTTATTATCGACAGGTGTATTTAGAGGTTGTACATGGTAAGTGTAGTGTTACTAGTCTGGGTCTATACTTGTTGTCATCTACAGGGTCACCGACTAGTGTTCTCTCCTCGGTTTTATTCTACGCCTCGTCGATTACGTAGGTGATTTCCCTAATTCATGTCTGGTTTACCCCCTTATCCTTCCACCTAAAAATTATTTAATATTCACCAAAACCTGACAAAAAATGTTAATTCAAACATTCGTCAGGGATTATAGCCCAGAAAAATCAACAAACAAAATTGCCATGCAAAAAGAGGGACAGGAGAATTACTGTAGATCTATTTGAATGATTTGTTAATAAACCATTTCATGTTTATAAATATTTACCATAATAAAATGAAATGGTGTTTAACGTCTTACTTTTCTGCACATAACCTGGCTAATGAAGGCGGGTGCACACAGAAATAACAATGCAACAGTTCGTTTCTACATTATTATGTCAAGCACTGGGTACATAGGTTACAAGCAAAGATTTTTTTTTAAATCATTCTCTACTCTCTCAACCCCACCATCTCGCAGAACGAGTTTACTGACGGAACCCACTACATCATAATCCTACGACTTAAAGGGCCATACCGAAACCATATGGTATCTCTTGAGCCTCGACGGTCTCTCCCACCATGCTTTCTCTCTCAGTGCGTGTCTCTAAGAAACTACACGGTGTCTGAAATGTCTCCGAATATATCTTGACTTCTGAAATCAATTATGTGATTGGTCACGCATGCCCAATTACGTCACGAATTAGCCAAATATGGAATGGGCACGCCTCATACTTTGCTTACCAACAGGGATTATTACTTAATTTGTTCAACAAACACATTCCATTCCTGACCATGAAGATGGCATGTGACAAATGTGTTTATTAACCTATAGTTCAATTCCTGTATCATAATATCATAGATTTCCGTTGTTTCACCTGCTGTTTTGCTTGTCTATGAATCTGTAAACAATAATTAGCCAAGGCCATTATAGTATGTGTTGTTTTGGTATATGACAAATGTGTTTATTAACCTACAGTTCAATTCGTGTATCATAATTTTATCACAGATTCCCGTTGTTTCACCTGCTGTTTTGCTTGTCTAAACAATAATTATTCAAGGCCATAATAGTATTTTGCACAAATCCATATTACTACATAAAACACAGTATTGAATAACAATATATTTTAATTAAACGATGGAGAACAAGTTTTATCATTAAAGTCTTTCATGTAATAGCCGTGGGAAAATCTATCAAGATAAAGGGAAAATGTCAATACATATGAAATCAGGTCATCAGAGCACAACTAGCTTTGTAAAATAGAATAATTAATCACATTTTTTAAGCCCGTGTTAGATATAAAACGGATTTCCTGAACCATAAAAGTTTATGTCAAATGCATCTGTTTTCCAGATTCCACGAACCTACAAACATTTAAAAGACGCCTCTGTTTGAAAATGTCGGACATGTAAGTCTTTTGCAGTTTTTATTTTATATGAATTATTTTTGCGTAGAAAGCATATCGGTTTAGATGTATATAGGTATTCTATATTGGGATTACTTTCTGACGCAGTGCACTTTTTGCACCACATGACAAAATGTCAAGGGTGTTTTACGTGTAGGGTCACTTGTACACGAGACCTCGGATTTTATTTCGATCCCAACGACTAGGCACTGTTCCGTGCCAGAATCTCTGTCCTGCACCACTGACATGAAAAAACTACGCTGGGGGATACCGGGGAACTTTCTTGACCAACACCTGGACCTCCTGGTTAATAAGTCAGGGCATTACCCACTGAGTCACGGTTACTCCATTGATTCTTAAAGAAATGATCTCAATTTCACAATATGTTATCAGGCTAGTTTCAGTGACGAGTCTTTATTAGGATTTTGCCTGTGTAATTTCCTTATCGGTTGATTTTTGTGTAACATCTGAAACTGGATCGATTTCGAATCAAAATGTTGGTTCTTTGGGTCATTATTATTTATGTTTTCAGGGATTCACAGCGTCAACCTTGGAGATCTATGTTGCTATTGGGTTCCACAGTTTTACTGTCATTTTTAGGATTTATATGCAGAAAACAATTCACCCTTTCTCTTCGTGGACTATTTGAGTCAAGTTTTAAATTCCACCACCTTATTTGGTTCCAAATTGTCGTTGCTCTAGTGGAAGCAGTGTGTGTTGCAGTGTGTATTAAGTTCCGGCATTCACAGACAGGTCGCAGCCACCGGGAAGCAACAGTGTTATTTTCAGTTTCACAAGCTGGATACGTCATGGTAGTTGGATATCTAACATTAGTGAAAGAACAGGAACAACACTTGATGCTTACATATTTCGAACCTTTAATTGCAGCCGCAGTTGTCTTTGGAACAACTGGAAAACCTATGACGCTAGTAACATTGGGAGCTTTAATTGCCTCGTCGTTTGGTGCCTGTATTACAACGTTGCCTTTTCCATCATTATTGAATATTAATCACACCATATTCTTAACAACCCTTTGGGGCATTTGTGTATCGGCAAGAAATGTATGCTGCAAACATATATATCAAGAACAATTTTCTGTGGAACTACGTCACAAATACGTAATCCCGTCGCTATTTGTGGTCGGGACAGCAGTGCCGGTGTGTGTGGGATTCTTTATAAATGTTCAGTGGATATTACCCATGACGTATATCGTATTCGCCTGTATGATTTCAGTTACAGCTACATACATTATCAGCTGTTTTCTATTAAAAAATATGAGTGTTACGTCGGTGGCTCTTGTGAACATATGGGTGAAGACAATGTATGATCTTGTATTGGTTACCTCGGAACACCGATCTAGTATGATGACGTCATTGATTGGAATTACACTATTAATATTAGCTCAACTTCTATATACCAAACAACGATTAGCAACTGCTGATACAACCCTTACCTTTAAACCCGGTTTGTATTCGCCAATAAAATTCTCTCTCTACACAAACCCGTGAATAATCCGAAATGTCTTGACGCTTTCGTACTACACAGTATTTTCAAATATCTACTCTATGTTTGGCCTCTTGTGTCTGGTTTGACTAAGCACACATAGAGGAACAGGGACTTATTTATCCTTTTAATTCGAAACTTCAAATGTCTTTGAGAAGTATAGCTTGGATTCAAGATCGCCAGGACACTGCGGACAGACTTTCGACGGTAGAGTTCTAGAACATTAAGTAGTTTACCTTTGAACAGATGCATCATATGCCTCTCTTGAACAGTTTAAAAGGACTGTGGTATATTTTCTGGGAGGTTAATGGCTAAGATTCCGATGGAATATAAGACAAAGCAAGACGGGTAAAGAGGGTCGCCATTATTCGAGCAAAATTCACCCCTGTCGCTGTCATTGCAGAGGTAACCTTACAAAATAAATAACCAATAGATATTTGTGTCTTATTTATGTTAATTACCTGCTCTAATTGCGTCACAAATCGTATTTTTTTCTTCTAGCGAACTCAATAGTAGAATAATACCACTTCTCTAGCTCAAAATTACTTGTAATTACCTTAAACAAGACACGAATAGCACGCAGCATCCGTCTAAAGTTACGTAGTAAAGTGTTAAGGAGACGTTTAAACCCTTTCTATCTTAGGATTTAATTTCGAGCCATTTCTGTCATATTTATGATAATATATCGTCTACAAAAGCTGTAGATACCTTCACGAATATGAAGAATACTGGGGTCACTACAGGGTTAGCATTACTGGTTCAGGTAACGTACCTATATGGATCAGTCTAGATCAACTTAAGGTAACAGTTGGTATAAAATCGACCACAAGGTGCGGAAACAGACGTCACTTGTGTGTAATAAATTAAATCAATAACGTACCTTAGTCGATAAAATTTGTCTGAAAATAAACAATATATTTGCTCGACATTTGAAATCCTAAATACATAATTAACGACTAAAATTATTATCAAAATACAGGATATATTTATTACAGAAAAAGAAAGAAGTAACCCATTTTACTATTTATAAAATTGTATTTGACAAAGATAAATACGTTTGGACATTGACTTCGTCTAATCAAAATATAGACCCTGGGGAAATATTTATTAAAACAATCTATTTTACGTATGAAATCTGTATAATTTCCCAAACATGCATGGGAGACGATTGACTGAAAATCCACATGGAAAGTCATTTTCCACTTTAATTATATATATACTTTCATTATAAGGGCACTTTGATATTTTTACGAAAGGGCGCCATCCTCGGAAACCCTGAACCCACACTCGTGTCCAAATTTATACAGAATTGGCAATATAAACATTTCATCAAAATATTTTTCTTTTTTTTCAGTTCCAACAGAAGAATTCTACACAAGAATGTTGTTTTTACTGTTCGCAGCCAGTGTAGGGTCGTTGTTCTTCTATGCTTTAACACCGAAATTAAGTGAACGTGATCTTCAGGTTTTAAGTTATGTTGGACTTGACAAAGCAGTACGATCGCTGTTACAAGAGCACCCACCCGCAAGCTGAAAATCTTTAAAGCAAAAACAGTTTTGTGCAATTTACTTATGACTATAAGATACAGATTGGTGTAATCCTAAGAAATTATCATGGAGATCGCTGATTGAGATATTCTGACCTTTTTTGAATTTCTCTTGGGTACCTCAATACTATAATAGCCATGTGTATTCACATGCCTCAGTAAACCTCAGTAAAGACTTCTATAGCAAAACCTTTTAATATTGAACATTAATGAACATGCACATGTTTGGTCATCTTCGACATTGAATGGAATACATATATGACGGTCCGTATGCAGTGAACATATAAGTATATATTGACAACGTTGAGGGACGTTGTAATCTATCATATAGGAAACATATAGGGTTGTGCGAATGGTTCCCTTTAATTCTCTGAGCGTGTGAATTATGATGGTTTGAAAACAAATACAAGAGGAGTTCACATTCAATGTGGTCACCCCATAGGAAAAAATATCCACGATGAGAAGTAGTATCAGACGTTCAGGGATAATGTGAGAATTTCGCAATGAAAATTATAAATTATTTGTATATACAATTACGTATATAAATTGGGGAGATGTAGGGTATATGATGTCACCAGGTCTGGTACACGTAGGTGGGGCTATTTTTAGCATTGTGGGTTATTAGTGTTAATAAAAATGGATATTATACGTCGATGTTTGTTATTATTTTAAAAAATAAAGATAAATTTTATCCGCTCTATAGCAGAGAGTTTAAAAAGAAAATGAAATGGAAGTCGAGGAACATGATAAGCGAAACCTCGGCTGCCAGTCCCCTCATAAAATCGGGGAACCAAATAAACACGTTTCTGTTATCTATTTCACTAACGACCTTCGCACACTGGGTTTCACTCAGAAAATTATTTAGAAAAATATCGTATGTTTGATAGAAATCAGTGTCTCCGCGTATCCAAGTGCCTTAATTCAGATCAAATTTGAAATCCCGTCCATGATTCCTTACAACTAAAATTATTGATTAATTAAAGGAATCCCAAATCGGACAATGATGCAATCAAACACGCCCATTCTATCACAGATCTGGAGCATCATAACCACATTCAGTATCGTAAAATGTGTAACCTCCGTGTAAGGATCGTCCGCAGACAAATATGCCGGTGGGTGCAGAAAACCATTTCCCATTTCATTTCATTTATGAATTGAAAGAGTGTAATGTTCTGCAGTTACTGGGGTGAATTGGAAAGAAAGTGAGGTCTCAGATTGTTATCGCTTTGCTATGAAGCCACTAGGATTTTTTAAGAGCTCAAATTTGCACAGTTTATCATTGTGAATATGACTGTGGATTAACGAATAACGATATTTCACAGACTTGTTGGTACAGAAAAGTAAGACGTGGTAGATAGGTGGGTAGTGGGGATTTTACGTGCGCTTCAAAATTTGGTCATATCGCAGACAAGAAGACGTTGAAAACAAATTCATTTGGGTTTTTTTTAATCGATCTGGGTGTGATCCGTGGATAGCACTAAAGGGAGATAACCACCATGGTTTTCTGTTACTTTCAATCCAGCCATTAATTGTCTGTCTGTATCAGTCAGTCAGAGTATATTCTTTTATCACAAATCTTAATTCTTTGGGTAGACTACCTCAACCAAATTCGAATTTGTTGGCAGCAATAAATGTGTGAAAAATGTCTGAAAACCAGTAAATTATATATGGTCTATGGTAAATACATGTACAATGCAAAAGATCTGGAAATTCAATATGTCTGTTTGAGAAAGCCCTATTCCTTGGTTGTTCTACAGGAAGTAAAATTTGTGAAAAGAAACCTTTGCTGAAAGAAATCCCACGGCCTGGCATTCTCATACATGGATGGGGAGGGGATTCCAGCAGCAACTCATAGCTCCAGCCTACACATACGAGGGCTTACTGAAAAGTTCTAAGCCTGAAAAGGATAGATCAATTGAATGAATCATACACATAAGAACTGCAGCTGTAGTGTTATTATTGTTTTCATACCAGACCATCTTGTGAACCTACCCATTGAATTCACCAGAAATGGACAAAGCTGGATATGAGGCAGTCATCAAATAACTGCAACTGAAAGGACCCCAACACAGATACATGCCAACATGGTCTCCACTTTAGGGGAGATGCCCCTTCCTTTTCTACAGTCAAGAAGTGGGCGTGGAATTTAAGCGTGGCAGGCAGAGCCTTAAACATACATTATGCAAGAGCTAAATCTGTCTATTGCAGGTCTTTCTTTAGGCCTAGGCCTAGGCCTGAAATGTTATCTAAATTATAAATTAGACATTAATGAACCTATCCAGACCATAATCAACTCTATGGCATCGCTAGCCTGCGATCTTTAGTGGATTATGAGCCAATTTACTGCATAACTTTCCTTCACGATTTAACGATTAAATGGATAATCGAGACTAGGCTGTTTATCGTACTGGCTTTAGTAATGATGATCGAGGCTAAGCGGAAATTTCAATGGCTTAGTTCTCGGCTCATAGGGGATCAATTTGAATGAAATTTTCAGCAAATTGCCTTTACAGTATCTAGTGTTTAACTATTATAGTGAGAACTGCCAACTCATTATCGAATCTCCCATAATGTATCTTTAATGATGACCCGCGTCTTGGAAAGCCATTAACAGCAACCATTCAAGAAAGCATTACCCGAGTGCATGACATGGCGATGGCCGTTCGTCGACTGACCACTCAACATATTGCCAGTGTTGTGGGCATCTCTCATGAGATGGTTGAGCACTTTATCACCAACAAGTTAGGAATAACAATAGTTTCTGCACTATGGGTGCCAAAGCTCTTGACTGCGGATCAGAAACGTGTCAGATTCCTGATGTCCTGTGACAATCTGCACCTTTTTGAAGCAGATCCTGATAATTTTTTGGCCAGATTTGTAACCATGGATGAGACCGGTTTCCAAAAATGAATAAGGAACTAGCCAGTCGCCATTTTCCTAGTAATGATGACTCCATGTCAGCTGTGAACGACTTTTTTTTTAGAGTGTTCGAAGAAAATGTCTTCCTGATTGGCATCCAGGCCTTGCAACATCATTGGCAAAAATGTGTACACCTCAAAGGGGACTATATAGAAAAAATAAATGGAAACCATCGACTTTGTACATGTCTTTCACAGATAGGTTTTGAAATTTTCAGCTAGCCCTAGTAAAAACACACCTGGCAATACACCTTTTGTGTGGGAATATCATATCTTAACCACGGGAATATTTGTGACCATTTAGTAGAGAATTTACGGCTGACTTTGTTTTTCGGACCGGAACTGTCTTCCTCGTGGGCCGGTGTTGAAGAAGGGAGGTCGGATTCATTGACAGCAATATCATCATTTCGCTTTCTTTTGTTATTCTGACATGATTAACTCTTGTAATCAAGTGAAGACATCAAAGAAAAGTTTTTAATTTGTTTGATGTTGATACAGTAAATATGGCCGCACGAGCGATGAAAGTCGGCAAATATTCTGTAACGTTGTTGTTAAAGAATGATCACAGTATTACTAATCATAAAACAAAACACACACACCTAAATAAATTGATTCAATGTTAAGCTTTCAATCTGTTTGATGTTAATCCTCTGTTGATTGTGATTAGGGCAATATACACAAGGATAATTAATTGGCAGTGGTTTCCATTCGTGGGCTACTGAACACTGTTAATTTTATTATACCCGACAGTTTACATCACGACACAAACGAGTTTCATCGTGTCCGGGGATTTTATGATTTAGCACAAAATATGCTATTTTTCCGGCGTGCAAAATGACCTACGGGTCTGATTCAGTTTCGGTCATTTTCTAAAGCATATACGGCCGACATGGAACCCATGGTGTAGCCATTGTTCCAAGGGTATTATGGACAACATAACCCAAATGAATGGCGATTATTTTATTGTCACAAAATGCACTTGTGAATGATTTCAATGATATTTACAACAAATAATGATAAAATATGTATAGTACACCACCGATTCAGCTGCACATTAAAACTGAAGAGTACTGTGGAAATACATTAAATATACTTCAATATTTCCCAGAAATACAAGTATGTGTAGCCATTCAGGCCTAAAATATATTAATGTTTCAAAAGAATCCATCCATTCACCTAAAATTAATTTGTCATGAATTAATTTGAATTATTTACATCAAGGACTCTTACGTTGACATTGGGGATAATCTTAATTTAATTAGATACTGAAATTGGTATAAATTTTAAGCTAGACTCCATGCAGTCCACAAGATCGCCCCCCGCCCCCCCCCCCCCTCCCACTGTGGTTCTGACAGCATTTTTACCAGATGTATGATGGAGGGAGGGTAAGAAACTTTTGGCCCTCTTTATTGGGGATAATTTCATATCATCCATGGTTCACAAGTTTTTGCCAATTTTAGGGTTCATGAAACTGACAGGCACACAATAAATTATATTTGTCAAAAACAATCATTTAGCTTTTCAACATTACTGGTACATGTACCAAACTCAATTCACTGCTCTTTGACCAATTTAATTGTGGCAATTGCGACATTGTTTAGCAGGATGGATTATTCAATAGGTAGATTTTGCCAAGAAAATAAAGGCAAGATCTTCTGTTTGCTGAACAACATCTGTCATAGCAATGTATAAGAGGCCTGGCTTGGAGAGGTCAAAAGTTTTTGACTAAACTTTATGGAATATAGAATTAAAATATAAAATTCACATTGCATTTTAGTTAGCACTATTATTCTGTTATTATTAATTCATCCAATGCCCAATCCTCAAAACTGCCATCAGGCAAATAACGTCTAATAATGAATGGTATTTTACGTGCTTTCATTTCCTTCATAGCAATTTGAAGAGGATCTCTTTCACCTTCTAATTCAACCATCACAGGAGCACACATTGCTATCTGTAATGCTCTAGTTCCTAACACTCGGGCTCTTTCATATTTTGTCATGTATCTTGTTGTGATGCGTTTACTTGGTTCCACTTGTCCTGGAGGTCTTTGACTTTGAGCAGTTTCTCCTATTAACACTTCAATATTTTCTCCCCCTTCCTGAGCTTCCACCATCTCTCCAAGTGACTCATTGTCATCATCCATATCATCAGGACCATCATCGATTCCATCTCCATCAAAATCTTCATCAGCCATGTTGATTTATTGAGTTTTTAAGCACAAAAGTGGTTTCTGAAATACATAAAAAGGAAACTTCCTTTACAAATACATGTGGTCATAACGGCCCTAAGCCATATTTTGGCCAATACGGCCCAACTTTAGTCATAAACCTTCATTAGAAGTGTATCAAAACTATAATGATCAAATATTAAATGTAGAGATATTAACAGTCATCACTCCACTTTAGGCTTCCCCTCAAATAACAATGCTGGAGATAAACTTACATATTCATGATATTCATATTATTATAAATATCATTTGTCATATTTGATACATAATAATATAACAAATATTTTATTGGTTACGACCAAATTTTGGCTTTTATGACTAAATTTTTTGGCAGTTAATGTGTTATGTCCATAACCCTAATTGATAATACATTGACTGACCTCACTCAAAACAAGATCACATTCATATTGATGCATTGGATTAGATTTAAGTACTATTCGTAGATCCTGAATAAAGGCAAGACATTACTATTACATTAATTATGAACTAAAATGTTTCAA